TTGAAAGTTGTAGATTGCAGCCCGGAAGCCAACAACCGTTGTCCGCCGGATACTTTCAGTATCCGGTCAGACTGTATGCTGTCCTCTGAGAAGGCACAGGCTCAACCGACCACAGATGGCTAGACTGCGGTTGTGTGGCGTCGAAGTTGCCAGCTCCGGTCACGTCTTGCAGGCACACTGGTCAGGTGTACTGCTCCGACTATTATACTGCTACGTGAGTGCAGTGTATATCCTCAATCTGCACACGTACCAGAAAATGTATACTTGAAAGATATCGTGGACCAACCACGCCTGGGCGTAGTTGTTGTGACGTCGGCANGCAAGTTCTCATTGATACACCACATATTTCTCCAGAAGTCACGAGTTTCTAACAAACGCCCCGAGTATCTAAGGACTCGACGCGCAGAAACAGTGCCGTAAGTTTGGTGTGCAAACCCGTATGTGTACGACCCCGTATTGAAAGTTGTAGATTGCAGCCCGGAAGCCAACAACCGTTGTCCGCCGGATACTTTCAGTATCCGGTCAGACTGTATGCTGTCCTCTGAGAAGGCACAGGCTCAACCGACCACAGATGGCTAGACTGCGGTTGTGTGGCGTCGAAGTTGCCAGCTCCGGTCACGTCTTGCAGGCACACTGGTCAGGTGTACTGCTCCGACTATTATACTGCTACGTGAGTGCAGTGTATATCCTCAATCTGCACACGTACCAGAAAATGTATACTTGAAAGATATCGTGGACCAACCACGCCTGGGCGTAGTTGTTGTGACGTCGGCACGTAGTATGTGCGTCTGTATGGGTAAGACTGCAGCAAAAGATGCTGGGCAGCCTAGGTCACATCCTCAACCTAGTCTACTGAGGCTGCACTCTGCACGTGAAATACATATTGAACAGACCTACCAAATATGGTTGTTGGTGACACACGCAGAACCTTGTGAAAGGCACTCTGCACACGACCAAACGTAACAAACTGTTTGCACACCTCTATTCGCCGACCGGAATTAACGCCTATGACCCGAATGCTCTACACGAACAGCAGCGTACCGAATGTGCAGCAGCAAACGCCAGGTGATCAGTCTGGGCCCAGTAAGTAAGCGGGTTGACTCAGCGCAGAACCTCCAGCAGAAGCTAACTCCAGCAGAAGGATTCACAGAATGTGGCGTCTTGCAGCAGCGGAGGTGGCGGTGCTGCTGTAGCTCGTAGACTTTGTAGTCTACCACAGAGGTTACACTGCTGTCACCGCTCTATCACAGAGGNTCGCAGTCGCCGCAGGCCTCCACTCACTCACAGTCGAGGCTCATAACCTGTTGTGGATTTCGTCTTAGATACCCTTGACAAGTGGGCAAGGCTGTGCCTCTCGATGATACTCGAGATGGTTGGCACCGCGAGCGGTTGACGATCAGAAGTAGGGTGCTTCTTGAGCTGTGTGGAGACGTGAAGATATGTTAAACACACTGATAGATCCACAGAGAACGCAACAGTCCAGATGACGGCAGTTCCTAGAGATGACTATCCCGAGAAGTCCATGCGAGAGATCCATGTGAGAGATCCATGCTAGAGTGAGAGACACGCGATCCCTCGAGCAGAGATTGCTACAGCAGTATTTCCTCCGCATACAGGTGCGTTACGTATGAACCGAAACATACAGTATCTGATGCATGATCTACGATAGAGAGCAATGCTACTGAACATTGACAAGTAGTACAGGACATAATCCAATATTTCCATAACACCGGCAGAGGTAATGTTGCGAGCAGATAGCAACAAGAATTCGGGACGACACACACACAGACCGACGTCCGGCGTCTTTATAGTGTTTGCTGTGCCGATGGTGCTGTTTGAAGGACAAATACGTAACGCGCGTTGATCGGAAACAATTTTTATTTCGCTCCAGCATGTTTTTTTTCCTCCACTCACTAAAAAGACTCCACCACATCCCGTTCGACTGTGGGTATATCTCGAACGGCTTTCTGTGTGTGTATTATTTTTTTCTAAGAATGAGCACAACATGTACCGAACGGCTCTGAAGGGTAGTGGTGGGGTACCAGCACCAACCCCTTTTCAGGAGCTAACACCGTGCTCGCTCGCATTGCACGAATAGTCTGTACAACTGGAAACCTCAATGTCAATGTTCCTGGGACAAGCGCGATGACACCCCCTCGTTGCATCCCCGCCCACCAAACACGAACATGTCCGGTACCCGAGATAGATAGTCCATGAGCATTTCATCCCCACAAATATGGTTCAAAGGGCAGTGTACCACTCACTATCGGCTGACCATCCGACACTACAGCAGTAGTGGTGCACTGTCTACAACAGCACGTTTAGCAAGCAGCATCCTACAGCAGCAGTACGACGGTAGTAGAGTGTGTCCCGATATAATGTAGTGCCGGTATGTGCCCAGAGGTTTGACCGGTACTATACCGGACACCGGCACTATTCAGAACAGGGACATAAAGGTTTTGGTTTGCATAAGAATGCACACTGGTGCCAATATATGTGGCCGGCACCACTGCTTTCTGCCGGGCAGCGGCACTACAAGATGGTCCAGCCAAGACGCGTATTTCACGGTTGGACCGGATTTCCTGCGCGGTGTTTTCGAATCAGGACCTGATTTTTTTTTTTTTCATGAGTTACCCCTATTGTTGTAAATATGGGAATACTTGTTTTGGGACAAAGTGACTAAAAACAAAATCCAAATGGCGCAGTGGTATTTTTTTTGGTTGTACTCATGCAGATGCCGTCTCAAAATTTCAGTTTCTCATTCGAAAAAACCGCGCGGGAAATCCAGAATTTCGTTCTGGCCTCAGAACCTGGGTGCAGGGGCACACCATTTATATAGGAAAATGAGGGGTCTAGGGACCGTAGAGACGTGTGCGAAAGCGGTGTAGTTGGCAGGAGCCACACTGGCGCTGCCTACCAGCCCATGACGTACATGAGGTGTACCCACTGGTCGTGATGATGTGAAACATGTATTAAAAGCTCACGATGCCAACATGCGCGTGCACAAACTCGAACAGATATGTCTCAACACGACCGGACAAAAAAGCAGACTTTTACGGCATCACCGCACGATATTTTGCACACAACCACACCTATGCTTAACCTGTAATACAAAGCCAACAACAACACCCACGCTGCGTAAAATATACAACTATACAATCTTCAACAACACATACATGTAACTCTCTACAGCACCATGTACCCCCCCCACTTCCGGCCGGCCGGCCAAGGTCACTGCTAGCCAAGGAAACCGGGCTCCATGTCCAGCATGTTGCGGTGAGCCTTTTGGGTGTCGCGCATTTTCTCGACCAGCTGTAGACCCTGGCCGTCTACCGCACCCAGCTGTATTTCGCGGTAAGCTCGGCAGTAGTCTCGTGCACCCCCCTTGAATCTCGCTTGAAACCACCGTGCCCCCGAAAGTCCCTGAGCCACGCCAGGATTGTCGATGCCGCGTAAACCCGTGAGCCAGCGGAGTTCACTCTCGCCGCGATCCGCAAGAGCGACGACTCGTGTCGAAGACGCGAGGCCTCGTTCAACAGCTCAAACCGTTTGGCCTCTGCTGCCTTCACCGCTGGGATCGTCGTGTACAACTCATCGGACAAGCTCTTGGCCTGCTGCGTGAGTTGCAGTTGCCGCAGGTCGCGCTGCCGCTCCTCCTTCAACACCGTCAACGCCGAGTGCCCTTGATACCACAAGCGGTTTGCTTGGGTGGCGGACACTTCCTCCTTGTACTGGTTGTCCTCGCCCTCGGTACACCCCCGTGCGTCCACCTCTGCATTTCCTTCGATGGGCGAGGGGGGGAGAGGGGCGAGAAGACTCGCGAGGTCTTGCTCCGCCATAGCATCCTCAACACGCCGAATGTGCTGTTCGTTGCTACCGATCTGCGATGTCAGCTCGTAGATCCGGTTGCCGAGATAGGAGCCCCGCTTGTCGAAGTCCCGTCGAAGCTTTCCTTCCCTCTTGCTCCAGCCCCGGGCCACCGAACGATATGCAGAACGCACACGAAGATAAAGTACTAAAACAAAACCATATCTACTGCTGTAGTATCGCCTGGGTCCGGTACTGTCAATATGTGATGATGGCGAACCGCGTGCACGTGGAAATTTGGTCGACTGATTACACTTGTGAGAGCGCCTACAGGGGCTTTGTATTCGTGCAGGGAGTTGTTGTTGTTGTTGTTGTTTCTCACATTAGCTCTAAAAAAGAAAGATTGGGGTGTGTGATCGGCCCGCAGCAACGCATCACGGCAGCAGTATATGCAGAGAACACACAAGGATGAATTACTAAAACAAAGCGATAACTACTGCTGTAGTGTTGCCTGGGTCCGGTGCTGCCAATATGGGATGATCGCGAAGCACGTGCATGTATGTGGAAAATTGGTCGACTGATTACACTTGTGACGAGCATCTGTAAGGCCCCACGGGGAGCTGCGCCCGCACAGCAGTAGGCATAGAGGTTTAAATAGACAGCAGTTGAGGAGTGCATAAAGGTGTGAATGGTGCGTTCAAACAGCGCTTGTAGCACCGGTGAGTACAACATCGGGACCGGCAAGCCAGCACATGACACGCGCAGTCTTGTACGTGACGATGTTGTGTCAGCTCAGCTCGTTGCACCCGGTGCACTTTGAACCGAAAAATATGGAAAATGCTACATACGGGGAAGCCAAAATTATCGCGATACGGTTGTTGTTTGTTGTTGTTGTTTCTCACATTAGCTCTAAAGAAAAAGATTGGGAGCCCGTGGTCTCAAAACCCGGCATACACGACCCCACGAAGAAACAGAAAAAAA